GGATACCCCATATAGAGAATTATTTTGGGTGATGTAGAATGTACTCCTCCAGGTTACTGTTTGTATTTCAGATGTTTGCCCCCCCACCCCCACCCCACAAATACACTTAAACAAGGCCATAGCTTCGGTTTTGATAGTGTGTTCTCAACAACCGTCGTAAAGACAAAACCGGGAATGATGGTTTGTTAGGGGTTTTTATCTATCATGTGCAAACATTTAAAGTCACAAGATTTGTCTTTAAAAATTTAATGGGTGTAGTTATCAAAGAAAAGAAAGTTGTTCAAAAAAGCTTGTTACCAGCACACCCTCGAGGTTTGTTTGAGGTATGATGTGAGATGATGCCCTTAATTAAAGCTGCTCCCATTGTGCCTGCACCACGTTCTGTTTCCTTCAGCTCATGATTGCTTTGAAGGCTGAAAGAAGTTGACAATATTGGTGATAGTGCGTGTGTGTGTGTGTGTGTGCGCGTGTGTGTGTGTGTGTGTGTGTGTGTGTGTGTGTGTTGTGTGTGTGGTGTGCGTGCGTGTGTGTGCGTGTGACGTGCGTGCGTGCGTGTGTGGTGTGCGTGTGTGTGTGTTGTGTGTGTGTGGCGTGTGGCGTGTGGTGTGTGTGTGTGTGTGTGTCAGATCTCCCTCCTTCTCAGAGGCTGATGTGTAATGCCTTTCCATCCGGCCACGGCCGCAGGGAGCAGAGAGCGTCTGCACTCTTGTCGCTCAGGAGCTCACCACTGGGAGGATGAAAAGCTTCCCACAGAGCCTCCGACTTCCCAGCCTCAAAAGCCAACATGAGCTCATACCTCTCATTTCTGTCTCCCTTCACAGAGGAAGGAAAGAGGAGGGGGTTAGTGTGCGCTGTGCCACAGCATCCTAACCCCCTAGGATGCTCGTTCCTGCAACCTGGGACCAGCAAAACAGAGGGGACCCTGGGTTTATTACTTGATGAGTCTGTGCCCGGCATGCAAGCCAGCAGCTACCAAGATATGTGGAATGGCTCAGTAACGCACCTGGCTGCTGTACCCGGGTTCAGGTGCTGGGTCCTCTGACTGTGGGTGTGTCGGAAGATGTAGGTAGTGGATTACTCTCCAGCTCCATCAGTGTTCAATTGCGTCTGAAAGGAACACTCAGACTGGAGGTGTTGGCCCACCTTTTACAGGCTTAACAGGCTAAGCACTCATAATAAAGCCAACCTGTATGAATGTATGTCAGACACAGGCCCAGGTCATTGTCTCAGGTAGCTGCCCCTGTACTTTAGAAGCTCCCATTGTTTTCCCCTCCTGAGCCATTTAAGCAGATCAAAGCTCTGACAAAGCCCAGGGAAGCCCCAGGCATGTGGAAACACAGGAATTACCCCCCCCCCCAGGATTCCCACACAAAAAGACAAATAGACTAGCTCCGGAGGGTGGCCCCCCTGAGGGACATCTCCATTCAGAGCCAGTCTGTTGTGGAAGCTCCAGTTGTTTTGCTTTTTTATTTTGTGCTTTAAATGAGATTTATTGTAAATACAACAGGCATCAAATCTAAAGATTAGACAAATAACATGACAGCTGTTTTTTCTAGATGTAAGATAAACAGATATACAAAGACTTGCCCGGTGTTGCTTTCGTATTGACCTGTTTTTATTTGCAAGCATAAACTAGGATAAATAATACATACCTTTTTTTTTAATACTTATAAAAGTCAGACAAAAGCTATTTTTCTTTCTTTGAATCGAGAGCAGCAGGAAAAGCACAAACATGGTTTGTTCCTTAGCCTTGTTTGAGCCTTCAAGCTGGTGAATGATTAGCAGAAATAATGTCCCTGTCACCCTTAATCACATTAAAACGTGGTTAACATTTAATTTTTCCCACTTGATATGCAAAAATTTCCACTTGATTTGCAGCAAAGGCCATTGGAATTCCATTATAAAAAGAATAAAAATTTCAGGCATCATTTGTTCAGAGAGGGATATCAAGACCAGAAAGTGCTGAATCTTTCTATTAACCGAGAACTGAGAGATGGCATTCAATGCTGGGACATAATGGGAGACTGACAAGGCACAGACAGACACACACACACACACACACACACACACACACACACACACACACACACTTCTTACTGGATTTTTTTTTTTGAGTAGCTTAGACTTGTAAAACATAAAAAAAAAAAAAATTATTTAATGTTTTTACTATAGAATTTCAGTTTTCTTTTAAAAGATGTAGCTAATAAGCAGAGAAGAAACAGTCAGTACACCCGCCATTAAAAAACTAAGTCGAGCCTGTTTCTGAAATTGCGCGGACTTAATTGTGAATGGGCCTTGATGTATAGAAAACAACACTTTTATTTTGTCTTGAATACAGATTTACATGAATACCCTTCATAATTCAGACTTTCACGAATGACAGAAAGATAACAACAAGACAAAAGAAAAATATCCGTGGCATATTTTACATAAACATTTCCCCCAATTTACAACAAAATTTCACGCAAATAATTGGAAAGGACATAAATACAAATTGCACGGTGGCAGCGGTGAAGTTGACAGAATTGGTTTTGGGAGTCATGTTGATGGAGCATCAAAGCTCTTAATTGACAGTGCTTTGTTTCTGGAGTTGCGAGAAGGGGGTGTTTCATGTTCCTGTGGCAAGGTGTTTGTCTGGTCCTGTGTCACTCAGTGCAAGGACCCGGAGACCCCCGTGCTCATTTGCAGCTCACGTTCTCCGTCTCGACTTCACATTATTAAAATCATCCCTCAGCCTTCTACCGAGAGCCTCTTTGTTACTTGGCTGGCTTGGCTCAGCTCTGTCAAGTCTTCACCAATTACAGTCTCAGGTACAATGGTCTATTCAAAGGATCACAGCCCTTGACTGGTGTGGAGAGAGTGATTTGTGAATCATTATTCAGCCGCCTGTAGGGAACGCAATACCTGAGGAATGCAAATAACGTGCCACCAAATAGACAGCTGTGCTGCTAAAAGTGACAAACTACAGCTGTTATTATCTCAGATTGGATTTTTTCCCCTCTTGGAGCGCCTGCCATCTCCAGTGTTTTCAGGTTTTTTGGCTTTGACTAAATGTGTTTTATTTTTCCGTCCTTTGTTGGAGAGACGTCGGCTACCACCTTATTGCAGTGGCAGTCAAACATCAACTCGGCATATATAGTGCGAACAGAAAGGGAAATATGAGGTTACGGCTCTTAATAGATGTGCATCTGAACAGACAGACAAACTGGCATATGAGGCATTTCGAATTTACCCTGTAGTGTTATTGCAGCTTGTTGGAGGAAAAAAAAACATCCAATCAAAAGCAAAACTGCTCTTCCCAGCCTGTCATATATTGTATATTGATAATCATTAGGTAGGAGCAGTGATATGGTGCTGTAGGTGATAAAGCGGTGACATTGTTATTGGAATAGATGTGGTATTGAGGTTGTCGGGTCCCTCCCAATCTTTGATTGTTATGGGCTTTAAACAGGAAACTAGGATTACAGATAATGACAGGGACCCCTTTGAATCAATCCAGCCTAGGAGCTCTGTCAGGGCCACCGTGTGAAAATGGATTTGTGTGATGCTGTTCTTTGAGATCTGTCCAATCCCAGCCTGAGAGCTTGTAGGGCTAATCTCATAATTGCCCATAACCTCCTCATATTGTTCTGACTGAGAGTTACCATTAAGTGTAAGGATATCTTTGTCCTGCAATGTCAGGTGTCCTGCTGGACTGGAAGACAAAAAGAAGAGAAAAAAAAAACTCAGGTTAAGAGAATGACATTTATAAGTAAGGTAAGACTTAGTGGTTAGCTGTTCTGCTCCCTCCTGGCCTTACAGCAAATGTTGGACACACAGCAGGTGAACGGCTTTCTTTGTCTTTTATAGTCAAAATTAGGCAAAACAGCAGCGTGTGTGTGTGTGTGTGTGTGTGTGTGTGTGTGTGTGTGTGGTGTGGCTGTGTGTGTGTGTGTGTGTGTGTGTGTGTGTGTGTGTGTGTGTGTGTGTGTGTGTGTGTGTGTCAACTATCGTGGGAAGCAACTAAGTTTACTTTAGTAAAATTCTGATGCACTTGTGCTTAAGTATTTCCATTTCATATTTCTACATATCAGGGAGAAATTTTGTACTTTTTTTACTCCACTACATTTATCTAACAGCTACAGTTACAAGTTACTTTACTATTTTTCATGCAATAAAATATGATCAGCCTCTAAAAAACAATACATTGTCTTCCTGTCAAGACATTTCAGTCTGTAATTCTGTTCTTAAAGCCTTTTTTGTAATCTGCAGGTGCACTAAAGATATTCCAACCTTTGTTTTTCAAAGGCGTAATTCATTTTCCATAATTCTTGTGCAGCAACCTGCCTTATTGTTTCTTGTTTGAAGATGCAGGCACTTCTTTCTATAACATTTGTTAGACAGGGTGATTTAAACTAAAACAGCTTTAAATATATTTACTGCAGGGACAGATTTTTTTTCAGTCAAAGGACTTTCAAAGTGTGATTTTTGCAGATTAAATTATCTATCAGCACATAAAGTGGTTTGAATTGCTTCCACTTTGTCCAACTCAACAGTAAACTGCTATTTACACATTAATGCATCAGTAATAATGACTATCCCTATTTTGCATAATGAGAACTTTTACTTTTGATACGTTTACTACATTTGGCTAATGATACTGTACTTTTACTTAAGTAAGTCCTAAATGCACAATATTTACTTGTATTACTTGTAAGTATTTTTACATTGTTATATTGCAACTTTTACTTCAGTAAAGGCTCTAAATGCTTGAAGGCCACATTAAATCTGAGAACATGTCAAATCAAACGTTCAGTTGGAAACTTTTATGGAAAGAAAGTCAAACTCTGTGAAAGAAATGCCACCTTTGGAGTGCAGTCTCCTGCAAACACTCATATGTTCAGCTGCTCTCATGAATATGCAAGCACCAGCAGATAACAAATACTTTTGTGTTAATCAAGTCCTCCAACTAGTTTTGTGGCTGCTCTTTTTTCTTTTTTTTTCTTTTTTTTTTTAACCAGGCTGGTGAAAATCAAGGAGTGGGGGGACAGTCACGACCCCGGAGCCTTGGTCATCCCCTTCAGCGGCGGCCTGGAGAGCCAGCTACAGGACATGAGTGAAGAGGAGAGGCAGAAGTACTGCACGGAGCACAAGACGCAGAGGTTAATTAGCATTCAGTCTCCCCACACTTTATTATCAGCTGTGTCCTCCATGCACTCCTTTAATTGCATGTGCTGATAGAATAATAAATGGCAGAGTAATTACCATTATAAAGCAAAGGATCCCTCTTCTTACTGAACAACTCAGTCAAAGGGTTTTCCTCTAAATTAAGTTTTTAACTGTCATCTGTCATCTGTAGGTATAATTATAACTTGGGCATTTTGGGTTTATTGTTCTTGTGTGAAAACCTCTATGGAGAGAAAAATTGTGACAGCAGATTTTTTTTTTTCTCTCAGCGCAGAACGAGGCATCGGGTTGAATTCTTAAAAATGCTAAATGAGTCTACGGGCTTTCTAATTAATCAAAGAAACCATTGGAGAGTTGAATGTCTTATGTGAAACGAAGTGACCCATCTTATTCACTTAATGAGTTTATATTGGAATGAATGGGGCCTTGCCACTGAAGTGAACTTTGTCTAGGCATCAGTGGCGATAAAGAATACTTAAACAGTTCAGACCCCTTGATTCAAGCTGAAATTTCTCTTCACCAGCGCCCTGAGCAAGATCATCAAGACAGGCTACGCAGCCCTGCAGCTGGAGTACTTCTTCACCGCTGGACCAGATGAGGTCCGTGCATGGACCATTCGGGTAAGAGCCAGCTGCCTGCTGTGCACATACATGAGAGTGTGAGGGTGTGTACCACATGTACACACGCACACACACACACACACACACACACACACACACACACACACACAAAGGAATACACACAGTGTCCCGCGTTCCACTCTGCTGGCACCCTCACTGATATCACACACTTTCAACTTGGTTTCAACTTGTCATGGTTGTGCTTTAGCTAGTCATTACAGGCCAAGGATAACTTCAATTACTGGTGAGCTGCTGAACAGTGAAAGTGGGGGCTACATTGATTGAGGAGGGCAACAATTGATTTTGCCCATTACGTCCATGAGAATGTTTCCATCCTGTGCAGATCTGCCTGCCCTCCTCCTGCCGCTGGAGATAAGGAGCCTGTGCATTGTGCCTGCCTAATCTGTGTGACGGAGGTTGTCTGTGCCAAAATTGATGTCGCTTTTCATTCGACTGTTTGTGGGCCTTGCTGGGGGCTCCTCCCTCCCTGTGTGTCTCAGTTTACTGAGCCCGGCCCGCCAAGAGCTTTGTGCAACGGGATCGCAGGACTTACATCAATACAGATGTTGGCTTTGCATGCTGTTATTGTGGGGGTTTTTTCTTGAGCAAATGGAAGAATTAAGTGCAGATATAATAAGGTATTTGAGCAGTCAGGAGTTACATATCATAAATCCATGTAGGTGGTTTTAATACAGCAAAGTAACTTTTTGGGAAACTTTTTAAAAACAAAATATTTTTGGTTGCATCCTGTTGTACTTAATCATATCTACTCTTCCATGCCCTCAGATATTTCAAGGGATTGCAATTTTAAATCAAACTTTTATAATGCAGAATGCTTTCAGTCCCATAAACATAACCTGGAGGATGATTCCAAAAAGCAATTTTCAAAGAACTTACCCCTAAGCAGATCAATGAGGTTTTGTTCCCTGAATGTGCTCCTCTGCAGTGTTTTCATTTTAGTGACAAATAGTCAAGAAATTTTCAAGCTTCTCTTATGAGATATATTCAATATCTTTGTTGAATAGACTGCTATAAATGATCTTTCTTTGAAAGCAATAATGACAGAAACATCTTATGGAGTGAATTACAATTCAGACCATTATTACTTTACATTATTGCTTTAAAATTCTCTAAAATTGAAAATACTTATTAACTCAAAGGACATACACTTAGTAGGTAGTGTATTAGGTACACCTAGCTTAAACTAACACAGTCTGATAAAGCACTTCTGCACTAAAGCGTCCTTCATGAGGGCTATAATGTTTAGTTTGTGTTTACACTGTTTAGAGAGGCGTTGATTATACTGTATGGTCATTGTATGGGCTTCAGTTTGCGGTGCTTTTGAACTGTATTGAGTTATACTGACTGAAGTGTTTCTATTATTTTTATCCACACCATCTATATCAATGAGGATAGGGTAAATAACATAAACAGAAAAACTGCAATACAGTTCAACAGCACCACAAAGAACATCGTCCATAATGATCATACAGATCATACACAGACACACACACACACACACACACACACACACACACACACACACACACACACAAACTGAAGATTATAACCTTCATGAAGAAGGAGTTATTGCAGGACTGTTGCATTACCCTGCATTAAAGTTACCCACATGTACCTAATAACCTGCCAACTGATTGTACATGAGAAGCTGTGTTTGTATTGTGCATGATAGATCTCTGACATGACGCAGCTGTTTTTTTTGTTTTTTTTGAGAGGTTAAAGAGCCTACAGTGATCTTTTTAAGGTCTACACCTGTTTTCTTGTTTTTCTCTTCCAAAGTGAGGAACAAACATCAGGTTTTAAAATATCTACAGATGTATGAATCTTATTGTTTTTGATGTGCTAAACAGAATTAAGACTGACATTTCAAATTCATTTTATTTTAATTTATATTCAGTAGCAAATAATAAATCCTCCGTGATGAAATTTGATCTGACACTCTCACATCGGTCAGCAAAGTCTCACAAAATTAAGCACATCTACAAACATTTCATGATGTTCCTTACATGGCATTTCCAATCTTTTAGCTTGGCTGTGGAAAGTGAGTACCAACTGGAATAAATAGCATTAGTAGTGAATGAGTGTCCAGACCCTGGTCTTGTGTGCAGCCAAAAATGTTAATAATTCACCACCAAAACAAAACTTGTGCTCAGTAATTTCATTTCATTTTCCTGAAGCATTGTATAAACTGTTGTTTAAAGAAGGCTAAGGTCGAACAGCACTGGCTTGATTACGAACACTGACTAGAGATCCACGGATGTCTCACAAAAACAAAGCACCAGTCAAAAATGTTTTTTGAGATGTGGTTGATATATGATAGCTGCATTTAAGACTTAACCAGTTACCTCAGAGGAGGACATGTACAGATGATACGGAGATTTACCACAGCTTCTGATATTTCTGTGTTGTGTTTACAACACATACAAGCTCAGAAACCCATGCTGTGTTCTTTTTGAAGATTATTTCAGGGTGTTTTGCTTTTATAAGGTGGTTGACAAAGATGAGAAAGCAGCAAGTTAAGGAAGCGAGAGCGAAGGGAATAACATGTAACAAACCCCCTGGTCGGATATGAACACAAGGCATTGCAGGTGTACTGTATGAGTCTCAGACCGCCTGCCAACAGGATGCCCCATGTTGATGCTTCAGACAAATATTCACATTTTGATCAGAAATGCAAATTTTATATCAGTGTACAAAAATACAATAACTCTCTGACTAGAAAAGAAAGTTATACGCCTGCATGTAATAAGAATACCAAACCTCTAAATAAGGGCAAGTCTTATTACATATTATTTTATATTAATATTAAATGTATTGTTGTAGATGATATGAAACACATGCAAACACAGACATTGGTAAATATTTTTATTAGGGCTCTCATACTGTGTACAGGCCAGAGGGGAAGGTGAGCTCACTCCCTCCACTTTAACACAGGACACATAACAGTGAAGTCAGATGACATCACCGTGTTTAGATGCACACTCGTCTCAGCATGACTGATGTCCTCGCTGTTTACAAAAAAAGTCTCGAAACACTTCAAAGGCATCCTCAAAAACACGCCTGTCCTCCTCGGTATAACTGATTACAGCCAGCCTTGATTGTGTGTGAGGGGCATTTAGTCAGGTAAGCATCAGTGAGTAACTATATTAAGCCAATACATCTTGCATTGTAAAAACTACACTCAGTAATGTCGTGTTCCTAAGTCCTTTAACATGCTTTATTAGGCAGCCTCGAGGTGACCATTATCTATCAGCCTGCTCTGCATAGCTCTTAACTAGGACAATGTGGATCTCTTGTAATGCGCCATATGAAAAAAATCCCTCCCTTAATCTATTTTTCTCCAGATAGACAAACCTTGATGCTGATTAATGGTAGTTAAACTCACAAGCACTCCGTCAATGAGATTGCAAAGAGATGGTAATGTATTAGAGTCATTAAATACGCATCATTCTTTTGGCATGAAATATGTTGACCCCAACCTGATTATATACATAATTAAAACTGCTCAACAGTTCCTGAGCACAGCGCTGCAGAGCAGAGAGAGAGCGAGCAGGTCGACAGGCAGGAGTCATAATGATACACAGCAGCCACGTCACTTATTTGGGTCATTTGTCATTTCCGCCCAGCATTATTTCAGTGCATATAAATTGCACATTTCATCAGTCACCAGTTGTGTCTTGGAGTGTTAAAGAGGATTCCGGGCACAAAGAATTTATAAAACTATTAAATTGTTATTTTGTGCTTTTTCAAATTGGATTGAAATAACTGCAGGGGCATATTTTAATGTATGTTTTGAAGATAAAATCATCACTGTCTATTTCAAGTCAATTTAAAGACATCAAAAACTGTTTCACAGCCCTGCATCTACAACAGTGAAATATTATTAAATGTTTGGATTTGAATTACCAAACTCTGGAGTATCACAGTAGTAAGGCCTGATGCAGTGAGGTCTACACCACCCTGGCCTCTCACTGCAACACCAGGTCCTCTTGCTGTCATGACCAGAGAGCCGAGCAGCGACCCACAATGAGGCAAGATTGCTTGGACAGAAATCAATACCACCACGGAATGGGAATCAGAAGGCATTGATAGCAGTGCTGGGTCCTTATCGGTGTCCAGGCCGCCCTAGCAGGGCACAGCCGAGTGGAAAGCTATCCAGAAATCAGGACTGAGGCAAGAATACCCCCGACTGAAAACACCCCAGAGTGATGCTCACAACGCTATCACCCTATCAAACACCATGTCGCTCGCATGCTGTAATCCATCTTCTCCAAAACAATTCATTTGTCCTCTCTTTTCCTTCCTCGTGACAGAAAGGAACTAAGGCTCCACAGGCTGCGGGGAAGATCCACACAGACTTTGAGAAGGGCTTCATTATGGCGGAAGTAATGAAATTCCAGGATTTTAAAGAGGAAGGCAGCGAGAGCGCTGTCAAGGTGAGCAGTCAGGGTGCCAGAGGAGATGAGGGAAAGTCTCCTGTGATCAGTGGAGCTGACAGTCACCACACAGCTCCTACTGCAAACTGCTCTTCACCTTTACTCAGGGGAAGAAATTACTGCACACACTCCAGCACCACTCCTGACAAGCCAGCTGATTCTGGCTCTAAACACTGCCATTCTGCTCCAGCTGTGCATATCTTTATCACAATGTGTCTTAACTGGCTGATGGTAGTTCTTGCTCGTGGCTTAGCACAGTCGCTCAGAGGTAGCACTTCTTCACCTCACCAGGCATTTATCAGATCTATAGAGTGCGCTGTTAGCTTAGAGCTCTCTGTTGCCAAATCCCCAAGCCACTGCAGGCATGTGACAGTGATATAAAGCGGCAAGTTAAATAAAGTGTGAAATTCCTCAAATAAGGACTGTTTCATGGATGGGTAACGCACAAATGTGACTTGCATATCTTATTTTTATGATGGCCAGTGTTTGTTTTGACCTTTTAACTGGGCTGGGGGTTGTTCATGTGCACACTCCTGTCAAATGTAATAACTGATTTCATGGTGAATTTGTGAAGACAATAACTGGGCGCCAGCTACACAGGTACTTTGCAAAATGCTTCAAAATGCTTTTCTTTATTTCCTGCCATGAGCATTGTTTTAGGTTTGGCATCAATTTAGTGTCATATCGATAAACTGTAATTAAAGGTACAGAGTAAATAATCAGTTAATCAACACTGTAGAATTCGTTTCACTTTTTTAATAATTAATAATAATAATGTATTTTCTGTATAGACACATTTTTGAATTTAATTCTCAATTAACTGAATTAAAGCAGAGGTTAACCTTGCTATGTGTGACATTTTATGAGCCGCAGCTGTAAACCATGCTGTTACAATCCCAATATCACCACCATCAACTCCATGTGCCCACTTACAGACTCAACTAATGTAATCATGGTGACACACAGAGACCTGCGGGGACCAGCAGGGAAAGGAAGCACTATGAAAACATTCAAATCTCTTTACTATTCAGGTCCCTTTTTTTTTTTTTTTAATAAGCATTTAATATTTAATGCAGCAGCAGTGTATTGTCCACACCCCTCATAAGCTGCAAACAGAGGGTGAAATGTGTCGGTCTCTGGGGGGTCTTCACTATTGTTATCCGAGGTTGAGATCTGAGTGTCAGGTCCTTACTGCTTGCTCTTTTACTAATCCCTTTTTTAGCCTCATAAGAACATGGAGCGTTTCTGACTGTGGCATTAAGGTCTATGCTATTTAATGCCAGTTGTGGGAATAGGCTGTCTGAATAGGGCCAGTGTACGAGGATATCACATTATTAGTAATCATATCTGCTTAAGCCAAGCTTGCTGCTCCAGATGGCTGCTTTCAAGTGCAAATGAACCAGTTAGACATGTCTGGTTTAATACATACTCAGGAATCACAAATAGCCATTGATTTTTTTTTTCCCCTGTCTCCCTCTCCATCCAGTGTTTCTGGTGGTATTGAGCTTGGATTAAATGGTCTCCTGAGCCTTTAAAGGGACATTGATTCTTCTAATTAATTGTGCGCTGTGCAGAACCAGAATGCATAAACCTGTCCGTATTAGCACTTCAAGTCAATTATTTTGAGTTTGCCGGGAAGGAGAACAAACACTTACTGTATACAAAAGAAATGTTAGAACTTATTTTGTTTCCTTGACAAGTTTGATAGTGCTGTAATCAAAGACTTATTAACATTTTGTGCTTGTGTACATGAAACTGAAATGGGCAGAAGAGAGGATTATTCTCTCAGTGGGAATTCAGGCACCCCTTGAACAAAACATGGATGTGTGTGTGTGTGTGTGTGTGTGTGTGTGTGTGTGTGTGTGTGTGCGTGCGTGTGTGTGTGTGTGTGTGTGTGTGTGTGTGTGTGTGTGTGTGTGTGTGTGTGTGATGAGAATGACATGATAAGAAAAGAGAAAATGACATTTGCAGTTGGAGTAAAGTTAGTGAAGGCAATTGGATATTTATCCTGTGCTATTATTTTATATTTTTATTTACAATATAATGTTATTACAGGTTCTATACTGTCTATGATGCCAATTACTGAATAGCTAAAGTATGTAACAGTCTATAACCTGAGCATTATATAGTGTTTGGTTTGTTTTTTGACTGTTATTTTTTATTTTAATTTGTTTTGTTTTCTTTGTTATATTACAGGCAGCTGGGAAATACAGACAACAGGGAAGAAACTACGTTGTTGAGGATGGAGACATCATCTTTTTCAAATTTAACACACCAAATGCACCAAAGAAAAAGTGACACAAGAACAATCTGTTTGTTTACATAAATGACTGTATTGTTACCCTTCTTTTTTTTTCTTTTTTTTTTTTGGCTGATACACACTGCCACTTTCTCACTTTTTGTTTTCTGTCCTGTAGGATCCCCCCACCTTCATGTGCCAAAGCACAGGTTCAGTAAACTCTGACAGCTTTGCTATTTAAGATCAGGATCGGCCCCCACTCCAAATTGTAGCAGCATTTGAAGGAGCATATTACTCTCCAGATACTTCATTAATCTCCATCACGGGTGCCAGCACTGACACAGCTGACAGCGGGGACAATGCCACCTGCTCCTCTCCCCCTTCTGCAGATAATGCATGTTTTACAGTAGCCCAGATGTCTACACTCAATAAAACATTTGAAAAAAACCAGTCTGTGTGTGTTTTGGGATGTCTGTATTGAGTGGGAAGCTGCATGGGGATGGTGATAGCGGTCCTGCCGACCACTGATTAGAGAATTAAAAGACACAGCTGACATTGACTGTAGCAGAGAGGGGACAATTATAATTAAATCTGTTAAGTGATGATGATTTTTAGAAGGGCACAAGCAGGATGCAGGTGTTTCGGCCAAGAGAATTGGTCAGTTTAAATTATTATTTGTAAAGTGACTAAGTTAACCTTTCATTTACAATTTATATTTCATTTATGATTAATGAATATGTGTTCTCTCCTCCATTGTCCCTATAATCTTCAAATATTGACAAAAATGGCATCTTTGTTATGTTTACAGTTTTCCCATCCCTCAACCATGAAAGCAAATACACACCTACAAAAAAAAAGAAAAGAAATATTAATTCAAACCATCTTTTCACAAAAAAAGTCCACATTTTATGATATTCTGTATAGTATGAAAATAGAAGTTGACACAATCCACAAGCACAACCAGAAAACGATTCCTGTTGTCAGAAGTAGTGTTTTTCTCGCCCCTATACTTTGTGTGTAAGTGTTTGTGAAGCGTTTATGCTGATGGAATTGTATGGCTGCAGCCGCAGTGCTTCAAAGTAAGATTGTATTCTCCGTGGGAGTCCCAACAAAGAGCTGTAGATCAGCAGTGCTTTGCTGAATATCTTGTAACCATTAAGACTGCAGAGAACAAAATGGCCTTTTGATGGGAACAAAAAAATTGAATAAAAATGGTCATTTTACAGAGATAGTATTGCATATCCAAGTTTTGGATAGGATGTTTTATGGAGCCGAGCCTGTGCTAGCACTACAAAGCACAGTGTTTGTCATGGAAATAAGGTGGATTATAGTCTTTAAGGTTTGAGATCAGTGGCAAAATATAGGATAGTGTTTATTGTGGTTAGATGGAATGAAAGACGGACGACATGTGTATCAAATAACATTAAGCTTACTTTGCTTGGTAGCTTTAGCATTAACCACTGATTTTAATCACTCAGACAAATTTCATGCAGCATATCAAGTCATTGCTACCAATATTTACACCCTATACTGTCGTCTGTACAACAACAGGCTGTTTTCAGCTGTCTGTTTTCTAAGTGAAACCATACAAATCCTCTGGAGAGCACAATGGGGGCTTGAGACAAAACTGTTTTTGCATTCTTCTCGGGGCGGTGGTGGTGTTGGCCAACCTAAACCCTAAAAGATTATCTATCTGTTGTAGTCTTGAGGCTCAGAGATTGACGAGTTGTTCCCAGTGGTCTGGGTCGTGGAGTATTTTGTTTTTCATAAAGCGACAATAAATCTTTTCAGAGTGAGTAATAAAGCTATTTAGAATCACGCAGATGTTGTATAGAAACAAAACACCATAACAAAGTCTCTTTTTCTGCGAGTGCGTCCTCAACAGGCTGTTTCGGGGTTTGATACCAATAATTTTTCTGTCACAGGAGAGGCAGGATTGAATGACTTACACACTCATTGGGTGTCCTTCCTGTCCAGACATCATGCAACACATTTCAGAGCATACATGCAAACATAACCTGTGGTTACTAATGAAAACAAATTAGCATCAAAGTATTCATAAACATTATCATGTGACGTAGGTGGATTGTAAAAGCAGTGTAACTGGTAGAACCTCTTTGAGGAATAAAACGAGTCCAGGAATGTGACAGATTCTCTGTTGGTACAAATGTTCTGTCAGCACCATCAATCAAGCGGTGCCACTCTGCCCCGAGGCAAACCACAGCAGCATCAAACCAAGAAGGGCACTGAGTGGAAAGCTTGCCTTGAAAAACACACCCAGCAAAACAGACCACGGCCTGCTGTTGTAAATCACATGCACACCAAAGGCCTTTGAAAAATCACACAAAAAAAGAACAGTTGAGTTATAACAAATAAACATATAAATAACTGAGGCATTTTTCAGAGAAAGTAAATATGCACAAGGGATAGTGTTGGGAAATTCAATGGTTATTATAAATGTATTGTATCATATTATTACAGAGAGGAAATTATCTCTATTTTGGATGACAATAAAAGTGTTGCCATGCTGTAATTATTGCCATTGTGTGACTTCTCTGTCTGACACTTGTGCTATATACTGTACAAAGAACAGACAAGAAATCAATATAGAATCATGATTTGACTAAAACAACACTTCATGTTCACGTATGAGGGTTTATGCAACGATTTCCCCCCTCATTCGTGTTTCTGCTGTAATGACACAACTTTGTGCTTTGATTTGTTGCTGTCTCTGTGAGTGATAAAACATTGCCAGCAAAATGTTGGAAGAAAAAAAGCCTTTAAACAACTCAGAGGAGTCTGCAAAGCAGCGTATAAATCATAACTTCAGGCTGACAAATTTAGCTATTCTTTTTCAGTTGTTAGCGCTGCAAAAAATATTTTTTTGTGCCATTATAGCATTTGTTGAAATAGGTTCGGTATTTTGAATTTGCAAAACGTGCAGCAAAATATGTTTTAAGCATTGAAATGTTTCTAAATGTTTCTTTACACATGCCATTATAGTAAACAATACACAGTTAAATCACCCATGTGGTCCAAAAACAACTCCTATGCAATAACCCAGAAATACTGACTCATCTAACTGTACTTACTGTTCATGTGCATTGCATATAGCATAGCATAAACATAGCATTGTGTAATACTATGTACAGTTTCATTAGTTTTAATGATGATTGTGATTCAGAATGCATCCCTATACTCATATTAAATATTTAAACTTCCACAGTAAATACAATAAAAAAAACTTCCATGAACATGGCTGTGACTTCCATCTGTTTGTACAATGCTTAATTCTCGGCACCTCAGACAAAGAACACTATGATCGTTCCTGTCTCAAGTGCTTCAGAGTTGTCTAAAACACGCATTTGATATTCCATCCACACTTCCCCATGCAGCACCAGTTTCAATTTTCTCTCTCAGGTCCCATTTACAGTGTCCCACAAGGTGCCTCCAGCAGGGCAGTTTCTCTCCGTGGGGTCACTCTCTCTTGGACTGGCCTTCATGAAAACAACTGTCAGTATGTTAATCTGAAACACTCAGAGCCATTGTGGACTCACTCAGTCACTCCTCTTATCATTCACATTTCTGCACTATTCCACAACAACAACAACGTCCACTCCTAGAGGATATTGAGAAGAGGCTTTTGCATTGAATATGAAATGTTTTGCTTAAAATTTCTCCTCCATAATTTCATGCAGATGTTATTAGGGCATATTTTTGTATCGTATTTCCCCACCATAATACGAAAAGAATACTGCAAGCTAGAAGGTCTGTGTACATACAGTGAGAAGGTCATAGATGCCCCTATTTACAGTTATATCTATCACACTGAATCCTTATAGATGTACTGAAACTCCCACTGGGTAATTGCTCGACAGACTTCACAGATTCCTCTCATGAGGTGAATACAAGGTCTGTCAATACGGTCTCATTTCCTTTGTTTGCAGCTCTAGCTGGAGACAACACTCACAGGTCTGAAGACAAACACCACAGCATTTATATTTGTCGTGTAGGCCACTGTGTCGACCAGGGCGTTGCATCTGTATTGCTTTTAGGATATTTGACTTTTCCCTTTAACTTGGAGGTCTTTGTAGAAACTGTTGATATGTTTCCAAGGACTCCTGGAGTAAGACAGACACAGCTGCAAGGTTTTTCTAAAGCTGTTTCCATTGGCCTGTGTTTACCTGACACTTGGATTGACAGCAGAGTGATTGGAAATATCCACCATTCACTGCCGTGAGCTCCTGAGTGCACGGAAAGTGCTTTTGTAGTCTGGCTGTAATGGGCCAAGTTTGAATTGAAGGTTGAGAGAAATAGCCTCACTGCGGTCGCGCGCTGTGAGGAACTGACACACCACAAATAATACTCAGAAGTGGGGTCCTGATAGCATCACAGGCACAGAGCAGGTACAATAGCATGCAGGTTCTCATTTCAATGCACTTTCACAATGTTGTAATGTGCACAATCAGATGGAGGGGAAGAAATCCAGTCGAATGCAAACTCAGATTGTGTCTTGATAGTGTGTTTTTGTTCAAGCAATCATGGCAAAAGACATCTTAAATCTCAATTGCTGATGACTTTCTAATTCACAAGTAAGACAATGCCACGGTTAGTTTTCAAAAACACATGTAAGCGAGGATAAATGGCATCATGGCACAGTAAATCTGTTTTTATAAACTTAAAAATGGGGCATACGTTGATCTAATCCACTGGATTGATATCGGCCAAATAAATTCATTTCTTTGTTTACTATAAAATATAGTCTGCTTGGAAATTAAATTACCTTGTGTTGTGTTTCACCTTAAATCACATCCCCAAAAAGTAATAACCAGGTGCTATAGCATGTTGTTTCTAAATATTTAAATTCCTCATATGCATTTCAGGATCATATGCAATTGTGCTTTACTGATCAATATTGCAATACCTTTAAGCATATAACTTATAAATTGCAAAATGTGGTGTAAATGGTAACAGCCTATGAGGAGATGGATGCAGGTTCATGGTGCATTTGTCAAAGGAGCTATTTGTAAGTTTGGCTATTGCTACATAGCCAACATTAGCAAAAACAGCTGTTTACTTACCAGTCTAGAAGAAACGTTGCAAGTTCAGCATCAAACTTTATTCCTGTACTTGCCAAGAGCTGTCTCCGGCAGTGTAAAAATATGTCAAAGTGATCTCTTGTTTTGCTTCTATTTCTATCTCGTTTCTTCTTCTACTGAAGCTCTTGGCAAGCGACCGTTATCACCACCACCACCATCTGCTCCCAGCAAGAAACCACATTTAATGGCACAGAAAACCTACATATAGCACTTTTAAAGGTGTGGGACCCTTTAAATGGTATTTCTTGGCAAAGGTCTTTATGCGACATCTGACAGGACATTTAGTGGACTTGTGATTACTGTTGGTCACAGTGCTCCTGGGTTACATGCTGTGGATGAATCCCATGTATTTATTTGGCAGTTGATGTGACTGCAGCTCTGTGTCAAGATGGCCTTTACTTGTTATTTTTGCACAATACAAAGGCTACAAGCAGCTTTCTCACTACACAGGTCTGATTCACTGGTAACGACAACCCCCATTATTATCAACGCCAATACTGTAAAACTGAAAATGCATAATAAACAGGAAGAGTCCAACAAAGGATGACTGACATGTCGACTGACAAGTAATAACACGGTGTGCAAAGCGAATAACCAATCACGTTGATGAAGAACGGCGGGATTTCCTGTATGTGACGCAAACACTCCCAGTCAACAGTGCAGGCCCCACCCTTTGTGTAACCCACCGCCCGTCAATCAAAATACAAAGAAATCTGACAGTTATCACCTTATTGCTACGCGTATACAATAACTATAATTTGCTGATCATGTCCGGTGGCTTGTGACTATCAGGACTCTCCGTTTCACGACAAGTCACGCAATGACTGGTATGTAACATCTGTCTTACTCTTCACTCTCAGAGGCTAACAAGCTACCTTAGGCATTCTCTGGCTACATTAGCTCGCTAGCAGGCTAACAGGGATGCCTGTCGGTGATAACGCTAATCACCGCCGGCTAAGTTAGCAGTAGCAGCTAACTAGGTTAGCTAGTCTAGGACACATCAGTAAAATCTGCACTCCTTAAACTAATTATCGCTACGTCGCTGTTTTCTCTATGTGGTTGTGACTGTATTGTTAGCTACTGTATTGACGTTATAGCAACGTTACAGATGTTATGTGAGTATCTGGTTTGTTTAGCTAACGTTAGCTTCGGCTGCTCCCACTATGTAAGCTATATGCTTTTCACTACACAGCCCCAGAACAACCAATGAAACCAGGGGATATGGCTGCCTTGGACGTGGACAGCAGTCAAAGCGGCTTTCTGCAGCAGGAGGGAGGCAGGGGCAGCCAGGTAAGGTTTCACCCTCAGGATTATGACTCTTTTTATACGTAGCTGCTGTGTTTTCAGTAACTGAGTGGCGCTTACTGAAGTTCACACATTTCAAACTTGCAGGGGGTATTGTACCCTGACTTGAACCTCACAGGCAACACTTCCTTTCAGGCTGCTTTCAAATCCTGCCTCATTTGCTGGGTTTGATGTGAGATATTGTAAAACTAGACTGTTATCCTGGGTGCTGCCTGAGGGGCTCAACACAGGACAAGAAAGTCCTTTAACCTCCAAACTTCAGACTTTGCTATTTAGCAATGAGTCACTTTCTATATGTGGCCCAGACTAATGGCCACCCACTTTCTTCCTTTTAAATTCGCCCGTTGTGGGTAGGACACTCAGCCATCACCCCTCGACCTGCTAGCAACCACCTGCACTAAGGTTGGGTCACCGTCGTCAGAGGTGGACAGAGGTGCTGCCGCTGATGTGGTAAGTCGGCACCTCTGCTAGATCCGACACAGCTACAGCAGAAGTGAAGCCTTCAATCACAGCTGAACAAAATTGGTGGTGGGAGTGTATCTAAGCTTGCGCTTGCTTTCGTGGTATTGCAGCCACTGCATTTTGGCATCAACACAGGAGGATAACTAATCTACTTCTGGAATGTTTTTACCATTTTCAGTATTGGAACAGACTCAGTAAGGGCACCCATACCCTTTTGGTCATGTGGGAAGTCCTTAAAGTACCACATGTGCTAGGGCTAAACCTACTGGCCCTTGCATATGACAGATTGAATTCAGATACATTTATCAGTGGAAAAGCAAAGTAGCTAGACCTTCCATATTTGTATTTTACCCTGCTGGTAACTCCTTCTAATGCTTCAAGCTTAATCTGTTACATGCACTGATAACAGCAAGATCAACCATGAACCACAATTGCATCAGGGAAAATTAAGTTGATGTAGATCAAGAGTTAATTTGACTGTTTCTGTTGTTTTAGATAGAGCTCAATTGAAGTTTTTGCTGAAGATAATCTTCAGTAGTGATAAGTTTTAATAACAATCACAATTGCATATATAACAGCACATACAGCATTTTTTGTTATTTAAGTTTGTTTTATTCTTGAAGAGTAAGTTTGCAGTATGTGAGATGGGAGAAAAACATACATAGTTTAATATTTTCTGCTGGCAAACTTTGGTTTTCATTTTTTAATCAGAGAAAATTGTCCTGTTGTGTTTTGGTTTCATTTCCAATTGGTTCTTTTTAATGGATGTACTGAGTGCATAGTATTGCTCAATATTTCATAGCAAAATCTAATTCAACCAAAATGCTGCTGAAAATCTACCTCTCTCTGACAAAAAACAAGAAGCAAGGAGAACCACTTAAGGTGATCACTTTAAAGCAGCTGCCGTGGAGGTGAGTTTGTATTTATAGTAGATGAACACTTAATTGCAGCTGTGGTAGAATGGCAGTGAAGAGTATATAATAAACTCAGAGTTTTTTATCTGGCTATCGATACAAACCCTTGTGTGTTTACCCAGATGCTCTGGTTAATTTTCATTGATAAGAATGCTGTCATTCAAAATCTGGCATGGAACAAACAAATGCACTGAAAATGCCTGAAAAGCTGTTTTTGACAACCAGAGAAGATAAATAAAACCTTTATGCGCACTTAGGTGTAGCATAAGCTCTTGCAGGCCATAAAATTTCCCTTGTGTGTCTGTGTAGCACTGATGTTGCACTGCAGGATGACAGGCCACTGACACTGTCCAATTACTGAGCTGTTACTGTCAGACATCAGTTGTGGCTTAAGGTTTACAACTCTTTATGATTCATAATAAATCGGTGTCAACCTTAAGCATGCTAGAACTAAAAGACTGAAAGAACATAGCCTTAGATTCACAGGAAACCAAACTCTACATTTCTTGCCCTCTCAGCTTCTACTGACCCAAAGAATTTTGCTCCCAACATTTCTGATGCTGATAGTGTGAGCTGCTAGCACCTTTTATTCCATCAAAATATCAGGCCAGATACAAACTCAACTTTTCTGTAAATTTAAAAAGCAGGCTTTAACTAGACCTCTGAGCAAGTGCTATGCATTCATCTTATTTCATTAACAACAGGTGTTTGATCATTTTTTTAATGTCAATCATTTTCTTTCTCAGACATCTGATCCATCTACTCATCTTACTGGGACTGATAAATGGGAGGTTTTAACACCCACAACAGCAGCAAAGGATGAATCTGGAATGATACAGATCCAAAGTCAAGGAATATTAACATCAAATGGACAATACATTCTTCCTCTCCAGAGCTTACAAAGTCAGCCAATCTTTGTGACGTCGGGAACGGCCGCCTCCAATGCCAATACAGTGCCTAACATTCAGTACCAAGTAATCCCTCAGATTCAGACAGCAGATGGACAGCTGAGCTTCTCCACGTCCGGCGTGGAAGGAGCGACTCTGACTCAAGATGCCACGGGGCAGATTCAGATCATGCCTGATGGTAGCCAGAGTCTCAGTGTCGCATCAACTGCAAACATCCTTAATAACAACCAGAACCTCATATCACAGACTGGTAATGTCCAGCAGATCCAGGGGGTTTCTATTGGCAGCTCCACCTTCAACAACCAGGGTCAGGTTGTTACTAATGTGCCTGTGGGTTTGCCCGGGAACATTACTTTTGTTCCTATTAACAGTGTGGACTTGGACTCCCTGGGGCTGTCTGGAGCTCAGACTATAGCAACAGGGGTCACTGCTGATGGCCAGCTAATTATGGCAAATCAGCCTGTGGATGGCTCAGAGAGTCAGGTGAAGACAGATGATCACCTCTCACAAACAATACCAGTCAATGACTCAAATGCAAATCCTGAGATTTTCGTGCCGACGTCTTCCTCTCAGCTGCACGTTCCATCAAATGAATCGGGTCTGCTGACACAAGATTCATCATTGTCGTCAGTGGCTACAGAACAACCTGACTCAAGTTCTGGTCTCCAAGAAGGCTTCATCCATCAAAATCAGGAGCAGAGCATCCAGGTGTCCTCAGCCACGCCCATCATCCAGCTACAGCAGGTGCCTGTTCAGACCACCAATGGTCAGGTGATGCACTCAGTGGCGACAGGCGGGCAGAGCCTGCAAAACGTGCAGCTGATCAACCCGGGAACCTTCATCATCCAAGCCCAGACAGTCACACCCTCGGGTCAGATACAGTGGCAGACCTTTCAGGTGCAGGGAGTTCAGAACCTGCAGAACCTCCAGCTGCCCACCACACCACCCCAGCAGATAACCCTGGCTCCAGTCCAAACCCTGTCACTTGGTTCCAATCCGGTCAGCATCAGCACAGGGCAGATCCCCAACCTGCAGACAGTGACAGTCAACTCAGTGGCCCAACAGGAAGGAGACACAGACACCCCTGGAGGTAGAGTAGCTCTTTTTTATTATCAGAATATACACAGGAGACAGCCTGAAACTCATACAGGTGTTTTCACTCACAGCGTCTCCTCTCAAAAATGTGTGGGTGTGCACATCTTTAACCTGAGCATAGGTCTGCTTAATGTTTATTTTCTTGCATTTCATTAAAAATCCTGCCACTTCTGTCTTTAATGTCTTAAAAAGTGTTTTCCCTACTTAATTATTGTCATTATTGCACTAATACAATGAAAGTGAATGGAAATGTGTTTGTGCTGCTCAAAGTGCACAATCCATAGTGACATCTGAGTACTCTATCAGGTCTGATGAAATGAAATTTTTTTTTGTCTTTTTAAAATCATCATTACTACGGGTAAGAATTTAAGTTATAGTCATTGTAAATTAATTTAACTCTTTTTCAGTTTATCAACTAATAGACCTTTTTCACAGAAGACATTTTAACATGTCACAGTAGGAAAATCTCAATTGTAAATAATAAAATAAATGATGCCTGAATTCCATTTATCTGCTTCAGTTTCAGGGTCCTGGTATTGTTCATGCTGGCTCACAGTCACACTGTCATGGCTTAATGAGACACTTGAACAGAGCGGAGCCGTTCTTAATGTTTTAATGTTATTAATTACACCTGTGCTTTTCCTACTATGACAAGTCAGAATGTCTGCTGTGAAAACGGTCCATAGTTTAGTCTATAAAGTAATGACAAATGCAGATCAACAGTTGCTTAATTTGCCTGTCCAGCAGTAAAAAAAAAACACAAAGTTTCTGAATTTACAGTTTCATGCAAAGGAGAAGAACAAAGCCACATTTGAAAAGCTCATAAAAGCAAAGACTTGGTTTTTTTTTGATTGATAATTGCCTAAGCACTTAGACTTTTCATTGTAGTTTGTGTGTGTATCTTAAAAGTTTGTGTAATTACACCTATCAAAACATTATAATGAAGTTTTTGATTGTAGCAAAGTCCATTCATAAATTTCTGCCACTCACATGGCCTGAAAAGTCCACAGGGTACATTTAATTAATTATCGAAATTGTCACTGATACATTTTATGTCAATCAACTAATTATTTTATCACTGCGCGTAATATAGAGTCTTACTTGTGAAATTTGCTGCCAGGCTGTCTATCACACACAATTATGAAACACCTCTCACTGTTCAGGCTTTTTGGTATGTAATTACCAGAGTTTGTGTTGATATTAACGTACACATTAATTTCAGACATTCAGATAAAGGAAGAGCCAGACTCTGGAGACTGGCAGCTGAGCACCGACTCCACCTTGAACACAAGCGATCTGTCCCACCTTCGCGTCAGGCTGGTGGATGAGGAGGATCAGTTGGGCCAGGAGGGCAAGAGGCTGCGCAGAGTGGCGTGTACTTGCCCCAACTGTAAAGAGTCAGGAGGGAGGTGAGTAAGCATGACTGATTGTTTTCTCTTAAAATCTCCACATGTAACAAGCTCTGACCTTTGCACGGGAAATAAAACATATTGGGACCCTAACTGTCAGTGCATGTGTTTCTCAGAGGATCCAGCATGGGGAAAAAAAAGCAGCACATCTGCCACATCGCGGGCTGTGGGAAAGTATATGGAAAGACATCGCACCTGCGAGCACACCTGCGCTGGCATTCAGGGGAGCGACCTTTTGTTTGCAGCTGGATGTTCTGTGGGAAGAGGTTCACACGCAGCGATGAGCTGCAGAGACACAGGAGAACACACACAGGTGCCCTTTTTTTGCTCCCTCAGTGTTTGCACATCAGGAAAACATCAGTAAAATCAGTAAAATGTGTTAATTTGTGCCCTGCAAAGTGTGAGTCATGTAAGAAATAAGAGCGTTTGCCCCCACCTCCCCACCCCCTCTGGATTTCCATGTAAAATGTCAGGTTACGATTGAAGACCGTTGTGAAAAACATCCAGAATTCACAGACTTAGTGGTAATTTTCCAGTTCAGAATGGTTAAAACAGTTTGTTCTGCACCGTCATTTTCCAGATTTGATAACATCGGATTGTATAACAAAAACATTTCAAGAGATGCTAGTAGTGAGCTGTACCTTTCGCTTTTATTATTATCCCATGGCTCTCTGTTGAGTCTGGGCACAGCCCTCTATCAGCTCGCCCGATCTGTTTTGAATTTTATAGAATATCCCTTTGTAATTACAATCTTTAGCCATGAGGTCAAACACGCAGCAAATTTATTTATTGTTGTTTTTGGGACATGTTGGTAACTAATGCAGTGATTTAACTTTGGCTGTAGGTCATACAGAATTCAGCAACACCACACAAACAGTCATAAAAATGTATTTTTTAGAGTTCAGTGACAGTTCTGCCTTTTTATTATTTTATGTAACATTCATTTTCTTTTATTTTATTCTTGAAACAAGCACATTGAACTTTCGCGCCACTGTCTTAAACTTATCTCCCTACCTGTGAAGCATATCCTTCAGATAGATGGCATGTTTTTGACCCTCCCCATATGTATTCAGCATCAAACTATCTTTCAAACTATATTTTCTCTCTGGCAGGAGAGAAGAAGTTTGTTTGCCCCGAATGTTCCAAGCGCTTCATGCGGAGCGACCACCTGGCGAAGCACATTAAAACTCATCAGAACAAAAAAGGTGTGAACTCTGGCAGCTCAGTGGTGGCCTCGATGGAATCCGCAGGGTCCTCAGACAGTATCATCACCACGGCAGGCGGGACCACCCTCATCCTCACCAACATCCAGCAGGGCTCCAGCACCGCCCAGGACATCCTGGCCAATGCAGAGATCCCTCTCCAGCTCGTCACCACAGTAGCGGCCAGTGAAGTCATGGAGTAATTTACACTCACACATGAACTTCTGCAAACTCTCTCATACTGTATACTCCTACCTGCATTTTTATTCAAGTTTTGAAGAAAAACTAAAATTATATATATATATATATATATACATATATATATATATTTTAACACAGAAATAGTCAGTCCATGTCCATACTCAGTTTTTACTGAAGAAAAACTAGTGTTGGAGACTAAAAGAAGATAAAGGTGGAAAAAGACATTGCAGTAAACACACAAGGAAATGCCTTATTTTGTACAATATTGTGTAGTTGCAAGTGTAGGATGCCATTTTGTTTTAAATCTACTTTAATTTGTTAATAATGCGTTTTTCATGAAAAATTATTGGTAAGTTGAGCGATTCTCTCCTCGTCTTTTGTTGATGGTATACTCTGATGATGTCCTTGGTCAGCAAGGTTTGTTCCATATTTACTGTCAGCAAAGACTAAATCTCACACCAGAGATCATTTTATCCAGCTGAAGTAACGTTATTGCTTATGTCCAAATTTCTTAATGTTATGTGTATTCCTTTTCTTCCACTGTTCTACTTGCAGTCAGTCAGTCAGTTTGCAAATTAGCAAGACCTGCTTCCTCCATTTATTTAAAAAAAAAAAAAACGTTGCTCACACCGAATACATTTTGCAGGTGAAAATGAAAAACAATCAAAATTTTGTATTGTAATTCCTCTTGAACATATACTGTTGATATGATACACATTATTTGCTTATTAAATATTTTGACTGAACTGCTATTTATATCAGACTTTACATAGAAAATGCATTTGTGATATTAAAAGTCCAAAATTTCATATGGCTCCATTATATGTGATTCACATGTGTTTTTGTTAAACATGTTTTGGAAGACTTCAAAACGAAAACAAAAACAAAACATGTCTTGTAATATGAAGAGAAAAGCCATTTTTTGAAGGTAATTGCCAAATTTGACAACAAACTCAGGGTGACTTGTGACTGTGTGATATGAGTAAGGTAAATCACCCCTGTAGCTTCTTGGACCATGGTGGGGTGTTGTGAAGAAATGTAATTTGATGGACCAAAAGCTGAGGTGAATTAAGCTGTCACCACGTTACCTATGCTTGTTTAATCTTACTATGTCTTTTTTATGATAAGGACAACCCCTGTTATGGAAACAGCTTTGCAGAATCCTTCACCAGTATTTTGCTCCATCAGTCCTGTCATGCAGTTGAAAAATCTGTCTATTACCAAAAGCGGTACTCTTTTAACAGCACTGTTCTCATCACTTTCATCTTGTTTGTTGTTAATCCTTTTGTATAAAAAATGTTTTGTATTCTTCCCAGGACCCTGCTTTGTATGCATTGTCAGTAAATGTACAATGTTTCTGTCTTTGTGTTGATTCTTTTAATTTTACTGTATGTTGCATTTGCCTGTTCCATGTTAATTTTTGTTTTTGTTTTATTTTGGGTTTTTTTGGGTTTTTTTACCCCCCTCCCATCAACTGTTAAATTGTTACATGAATACACGTGCACACTGAACAGCATTTTTCCACCCTTTGCCACATGATCCTCTTCAGGAGATTATACTTAAGCCTTTAAGTCAAATAACAAGATGCTTTTGAAACACTCAAACATCATCTTCGTATTATATACTAAACACTGAAGTTTTATCTTCAATCAAATCTTCTGTATAAATATGTCAATATAACACCAATATAAACTTTTCTGTTACACTTCAATTTCCTTTGATTTTTTTGTTTAATTTTAAAATTCTTTTAATATATCTTGGTTGTACCGTTTCTGCTTTCTGAGGGCAACTCGATATTGCAAACTAAAATCACGAAATGTAAGACTATTTTGATTTTTTCCATGCGCTTGAAATCTTTTGTTTTGTTTCTTTTTGAAGATGTCATGCAGCCAGGAGCTCCATTCTCCCCCCACAGGGCTTACACTCTGGGTTAGTAGTCCAGTAGATGTCACTACAGCCAAGGGAGCAGGACGAGAGGTATGTTTGACCCCTTGACCTTCCCCTTATAGCTGCTGCTAAGATGAAGACAGAAGTCACCGAGGCCAACAAGAGGCAGGTGAACCCTCAATTAACCACAAGTAAATGTCACACAGAAATGTCAGAAACATATTCTGCTGCTGGAGAACAAAGTACAGTCTCATGACTTTGAAAAAACCCTACAGAGGCATGAGAGGTAACAGCTCTTTTTCTTATGACCTGGATTCATGTATATGTGAGTAAAATAGAAGGAAAACCTTTTAAATAAGCTGCTCTCATATTTTTTTACTCTGTCCACATGGTTTCCTGTCTCTATTATTTACCTGAAATAGTAATTGTACAATTGTTGAATATTTTGATATATGAAGCTGATATTACCAGACCACAGCAGCACACACTTACTATATCACTGCCTATACCTCTTATACTAAATGGGACATTTTACTAGTTAGGTACTTTTGCTATTTTTTGCTGTAATATAAGGTTCAAGGCAGCGGCATGAGGCAGTTGAAATGTATTATAGCTTACCTGGTTGTAGTACCTGTGAACATAATTAAAAGGGTAGTCTATGAAAAGATTTATCTGGTAAATCAGAGTGAAAAGCACATGCTTTTTGACTCTTTGTCAATTTGCTGAAAACGAGTCAGAAAATGTGCTCTATAACGTTAAAAAGGACTCGTCCGTTTTGTCGTTCCTTTCATTTGCATAATTTAATGAATCCAATTCATTGTAATGCAATACCAAGTGCACCAGGAACATAGAATGACAGTTTGAGTTAATGAAATGTGTTAACGGTATCATCATTTACTTGTATGTTAATTAGTCCAATTAATTTCCCCTGCTCGGTAATCTGAATATTGTAATAATCTTTGCTCCCCTGCAGGAATGAAATCTATGATGCACAGACCTCTGGGACAATCTGCATCGAGAATCGTGGTTTTTCCAGTTGTGAAGTTTGGCAGATTTGAAAAATGTGAGTGCCTTGAAGTGCCTTAATTTTTGAGTTGTGAGAATCAGGAATATTTCAGCCCCAGGACTTTTTTTTTTTTTTTTTTTTTTCTGGATTTATTCCCTGTGCTTGATTTTTTTTTTTTTTTCTTCTCTTTTTTCTTATGACTTGCCTTAAGCCTTTATGATGCAAATCAAACCACAGATGGAAATGTATTGAGAAATGGAGGGCGACTGTCTGGTGTCAGAGCCAGGAGGATAACTTTGTCTTGCTTGACAAAGTACCATTGCCTCGTAACAGGAAGAGGCATGGATCCTCTGGCCATTGCAGATAAAAGCTGCCATCAGTGGGCGATCCTCCCCGGCAGCTCAGCAGGTTAAAGGAGGAAGAGAGAGAGATCGTGCGGCCGCTGAGCATGAATGACACTGTCCACAATGTCATTTCAACTGACCACCTGAATTGGAGGCCAACTTTGTCAACAAACTGTTGTAACTCTTACACGGTTATGTCAACATCACCTTAGAATTAGAGGAATGAGCCGAGCCTTTATCAACCCACTTAATGAGTCTGGAGAGGTTGCTTCAGTGTATAGTTGTGAAATTAAAAGAAATGCACGGACAAGTGAAGCTTCGTATGGCTTTGAGTTGCTGAGGAAATCACATCTTTGCGGGCCACACTAAGTGTGAGTTATTTGAACATTATGTGGAGCAAATTTTGCGAAAGAACAGTGAGACACAAATGGGCTCGAGTTTTATTTTGGAGAGTAAAAGGAAAGCTTCTTTCAATTATGCAGTTGTAGTATTGTGTTTTTTATGATAGACAGGTATCATTTCAAACGGGGCTTACACTACAAGTTGTTTGTGTGTTTTTATTGTAGCAAATAGCTTTGGTTCTTGTAGCTCAGTTTGAATAGCAGTGTAATTGTACACAGTGCTCAACTTCTCTTCCAATTCATGTGCAAAATGCATAAATACAATAACTTTGCAGAGGGAGAGGAACACTATAATCAAGCAATAACATTTCCGACTGTATGTGTGATAGAATTCAAAATGCTATTGGGATTATGGTTCTTAACCATTGGGAGGTAATGTGAACTGCTGGCAGAAATGACTTATTTCATTATACTGTCCCAAATATACAAAATACTTCAGCGAGAGGGCTGCTTCTTCCCTATCCCTGCCCAATTTTAACTGTTTTCCTCAGTTGTTGAAGGATAGGCCTGCAATTTTGCAAAATGACTATTATTTGCCTTTCTCAAGGAATCAACAACTTCAAAGTACAGTGCAATGAATTGTTGGGTCTCTGCAGCTGCATTCATTTACAATATGTCTTTTTTGGTGAGGCATCTCACACAATTTAGAGCATAAAGCCTTTATTTAATTTCCTTTTGGATATAAACTGCAAGTCTCTTCATAAGTGAAAAGCACTTACCATCCTGCTTAGTATTTTGTTTACAGCAGGGTACTAATGGTGTTTTTCTGTTAAACCATTAGGACATTTGAAAGTACATTTAAAAAAAAAAGTGTCTTGTATTTCTACATTCCTGACACATTCTTGCCCTTGATCAACTGCAGAAGGCAGACAATAGTGCAGATCATTTTCCCCAGGCAAGGAAACACAGCATGGATCAACTCAATAACCTGATATTCCCTGTCTACTGAATGTGGCCAATTTAGCAAAGGTCAGCGCCTTTTTTTTTTTATTCCAGAGACAATTTGGTGACCTCCCTCTGGAGCCACAGCAGGACCAGAGGAGACAAACAGAATCGTCGAGCTAGAAAGTGCTTGTGTTGACATTGTGTTTAGGTCTGGACTTCTCAAGGTGAACAGATACCTGGTGGGGGGCAGGGGGGGCTATTATGCAAACCTGATAGGCACGGCCAGCAGTCGCGTGTTTGTGAATTTAGTTTGTATTTTCAGTCGTTATTTATGGTGTCAGGGTGGGTGTTTGAAGTTGAAGCTGTACACTGATTAGAAAAGTATGGTCCATGTGTTGGTGTGGCTGCGAATCAGCTGCCATCATCCTTTTATATGCAAAAGTACCAGTCACAGCTTCAAATTAAACACACTTGTTTCAGGGAAATTATGTTCTTACTATTTCAAGAGCAATCAATCTTTGCTATCTTTATTATAAACTTTTCTCTCCCTGTATTTTGCATGTACTGTCTGTATGCTTTTTTTTTTCCAGAACAAACTGTGAAAATTGAATCACCAACAATGAGACACCACCGTCAAATTTTCCATATAATACTGTCCTTTGTGCTCATACACAGTATGTGTCTGTTTAAGTGCAGAGACAATTGCATAAGATGATGTTTTACATGTAAGAGAAGATTACGACGGATCATTTTTAGCCATTCCTCACAGCAGTCATATAGTTTTCCCACTGTATGAAATAACTCTTTGTCTTTCCTGTGCACCTCAAGGTCAAATGTGACAACAGCTTCAACTTCCTCGGACTCAAGTCGGAGAAAAACTGAGTGTTCGCTCAATATTTCCTTTTGGTGACAAGAGCTGGCCTTCGGTGTTACTCAGCCCATTGAAAAACGATTTCAGATTTGAAAGGAGACGTTTTGTATCTGAAAATGTACATTAAATGGTGTCAACAACATCCTGGAGGTCAGAGTAGAGTCCCCATGGATACTGAATGTGGCTGCTGCGCTCGAAGACTCGACACCCCCCTGAGTGGCGGC